CACACAAAGCAATGCAAAATCTTCTCATCTACAGTACTGACAATATCCATGGCAAGAATACACATACTGCCTGTGCATAAAGAAACAAAACCATTAGTTCTTACAGAATAGGGATCTCAGCAGAACATCTTGAAGAGCTTTTTTTCTGCACAAGGTTGGAGACAGAGTGGGTGGAACAGGGAACAACACAAATGAAACAAAAGAAAGGGAAAATCAGTCATGGGTGGAAAAGATAAAAAATGTCTGATTAGCATAACAATATCATTGCTCCTCTATTAATCTGTAAATTTGCATTTAAGCAAGTCAAATACTGCAGGAAATTTTTCATGTAGCTTACGAGTTCTAAATAAAATTGTCGGTTACTTTAATTTGTAGCTAGTATAATGTGGGTTTTTAAGTGAGAAAACATGTTGTGTGTATTAACCTGTTAAAGCTTATAAACAGCAACATACTGTGACTTTCAGTGAAATGGAATCTTAATTTTTTCCCTCTTTTCCAGGGAGGCATTTAAGCAGGTAACTTGTCTTAGGTAGCTTATGAGCAGTGGAAATCCTTTGTTTCTGCATCTTGCCAGAGGCAGGAGCAGGAGGAGGGCATTGGTTCAACATTGGATAAGGCTCCTAGACACAAAAGAAGATTGTTCCTGCTTTTGCTGTGATGATTCCTCACAGTGAGATGATTCCATATGTGAAGAGTGAGAGACAGGAAGTGATACAAATTTGTTAATGATATTTGCTGTCATCATTAGGACATTACCTTGGCAGAATTATTTAACACTTTTTAAACCACTGTGACTCTTGAGTTGCACAAGTTCCTACCCTCAACCCAAGACTAGGACCTGGCCTTCAGGTTCCAACCACAGAAGGTTTTAGCCAGCACAATCAGGACAATATTGCATGATATTGAGACTGGCAGCTTTTAGAAGACAGACAGCTTAGTTCAGGAGCACCATCACCAGTAAGTGCAGCAATTGCCTGATTTAATCAGACCACTGAAGCCAGTCATTATTAATTAAAACCATGATAAATCAATCCAATGTAGTCTTTTGTTCAGCTCAACGCTAGCTCATAAGTTAATCTGTTTACACAGTCATTCTGCAATGCAGCTTCTTGATTTCTCATTCACGTTGAGAAGTTGCTTGTTGTGTCTTTGAGCGCAGTGAAGTAGGAGAGACAACTTCTCCTGACAAAACTCACATGCTGTAATAACTGTTCCTCCACTTTGCGAGCACTTCAGAGCTTTCAGGTTGGATTTTAATCAGGGGACCTGCGACATTTTTAATACCTTTTAAGCAGTTGCCTTACTGCACTGTCATGATTAGAAAAGACACAGGGAAATGCAACTGAGTAGCACATTGGCTAGAGATCTTAACTGGGAAAAACCTTAGCTTTGCCCTAGGGGGTGCCTACAAACCCGTGCTTATACCATGCTGAAGTCTTCAGCTTTCTATTTTGGGAATTTTTGTCAGCATCTTTTGCAAACATATGTGCACAACAGCGCAGGGCTTAAAGGAGATTGCTGCTTCTGAGTCATCAGCAAACAAATATCTGGAAAACTCCTAACAGAGCAAAGAAGTATGCGTGAAATGTGGAAATGAATTTCCTGCTGGCTGGTGCTTGCTGGGAAGATGAAGTATAAATATACAGAGTGGCCTTGCTTCAGCCTTTCTCCAGTAAAGCCATACTTACAACCCCAGTTCTATTCCATGTCAGACAAGGGAAAAATGTTGGATTTTTACATTTAATTTTTGAATAAAAAAAATCAAATCTCTTTCTAAGGCCACCTCTGAGCTCTAATTAATGTACTTATTTAGCAGTGGAAGAAACAAATTGTTGTCGGTCAAATGAATCATTTCATTAGGCAAAATACATATTTTTTTGTATCTGGGCATTTTTACTCAGATCAGACATCAACATCACCTTTCATAGGTCTGCTATGGTTATGGCAGCATGCCAGCATTTCTCCAACATTGCTCCTTCACACTTGACAAGATACATGTTCTTGAAGTGGGCAGAGAGGATCTCTGAACTACAGTTTAAAGCCAGTGCATAAAAGGCTATCTCTGCCTGCATCAGCAGCAATATATTGGAACAATACGTGAAAAGCCCCAGAGGTGCTCAAATCCCTAGGACTTAAAAAAAAAAAAAAAAAAAAAAAAAAAAGAAAAGAAAAGAAAAGTGGTGGGTTATGTTAGGAAACATGATGTCGCTGAGCCTGAAACATTTTGCATATCAGCTTCCAACAAGCGTAGATTATCTTAACGCCATTAAGCAGACCTAGATTTGTTTTACAAGTTATTGTTGACATTGCTGGCAACATGCTTTTGCTGCTTGTTTTGTGATACCTCTAAAGCCAATGTGGTGATGCAGATCACTAAATTAAAAACTAAGGAAAACCAAAAAGTTTTTGGACAGACCCATTCTCATTAACAAATGTAAGTCACGGTAGTGACTTGGGCAATTCAAGAGTCACAAGCTACAAGATTCCCAGAAAGCTATGATAGTCCTTGCACTCTTTTCTTGGGCTGAGGTATTTCCAACTGTACTAGATGGAACAGGCAGGCTTAGAGATATCTCTGGTGACTTTTCAGCATTCAGAAACTCGGATTTCTAGTGAGAACCAGCTGAATTTTGCCTGGGGAAGCTGGTTTTGGAAATCTCACTATTCACTAGGAGGGGAAGAACATATATGTATATATATGTAATCTCTTTTTCATTTTTGAAGACATAAGAGATTAAATGCTTTGATTAATTAGCCAATTCATGTAAACCACACATGAAGAGAGGAGAGAAGCCAACACAAAGGCTAGCAGGTTGAGCCCTGCTTCCATGATCCACAGGCACTTTGCTGCAATGGTGTTTGGCACCCAAGTTCCCTCAGAGAGAGAAAGAAAGGGCCAGTCATGTCCCTGTTCTCCTCCTCATAGTGTGAGATCCTCTACAAGATCAACCTGAAGAAAGCTGTCATCTACTCCTGCCACCCAACATGTCCCGCCTGGAAACACCTGGTAGCACAGAATGAGCTTAAAACTCATTTAAAAAGCCCTTGATCTGAATGACAGGAATCTTCCAACCAAAGGCAGACTACAACTTTTTCATCTGCTTCTGTTTGCAGACCATCCTTCCCTGACAAGCTTCCAGAGGAGGACTAGACCCTTGCACCATGCACTGAAATCTAAGAACAATAGGATGGTTCCCTTTGCAATTACACCTACGAAGATCATCAGGGAACAGCATCCCTCCCCTAGTCTAATCCTCCACTGCTCTTGAGATAGCATAGCCATTCTTCCAATGCCTGTAGACAGCTGAGGGCCAAATCAGACTTCCTCAGCAGGTATTTATCACAAAGACCCCCTTGACAGTTCTCAGCATGATTTGTGATTTTCACTGAGTTTCTCCTCTGGAGGCTCCCTCCTTCCACAAGACATAGAAAAAAGGCAAATAAAGAGCAAAAGCATAGACCAAAAACGCAGAGAGTGCTTCAAAATCAAATACAGGCTATTGCCTCATTTATTGAAGAAGACAGCATAGCTAGTAATGAAAATTGTCTCTCTAAATTAGAAAGGACAGTTTTGAGAAAGCTGGAAGACTGCAGAAGGAGAAAAGGCACTGGTATCATTCTTTTTGGCTTATAAAACACTGTCAAACTTATTGCAGTCCACTAAAGCAAACCTGACTGTTAAAAAAAAAAAAAAAGAAAAAGAAAAAGAAAAAGAAAGAAAAAAAAAAGCAGGCTGGCAGAGTTCTACATGGCCAGGAAGTTCTCTCACTTTTGCAGGAGTTCTCTCACACTTGCACATGCAAGGTTTTGTGGACATCTGAGCATGCCTCAGAAACACCTCTCCCTCTTACAATATTTGCTTCCGTCTGCCCTGCCAAAGCCATCCAGGAGCCAAAACACCTAGAGAAGAGCTATGGTGGTAGCAAGTAAGTCACAGCACACAGAGAGCCATCAAGCAGAGTAAGAACATTAGTGTTTCCTTGCTCTCATAAGATTCACAGACCCATTTCCAGAGCGGAATTCAGCTAAATCTAAGTCTTGGGCAGATCTGTATTTCCAGCCTGAGCTGAATTTCCAAGCTCAAAGGAAGCAGGGAGCACAGGGCTAGAAGCTCTTCCACTGACTGCCACAAGTGGAGGTGCCATCTTGAACTTTATTGTAGGCGGTTGGCTTTTTCTCTTTTCAACAAAACTGACACCTTCTCCAAAATACAGTGCATAGGAACTGTAATTACAACATCAGAGCAAAGCAAAGACATGAAGATATCAGGTGTGAAAATATGTGTAGGATATGCAGCTGGATCAGACACACAGATAGGATGAAACTGATCCTCTGCGTCTTCTTCAGTAGTCTTGCCACTTTTCCCTTTGATGCCCAGGTTTATGGTCTAAACGGATAAATTCTGTTGCCTGCTCCTTTTGCAATAAAAGCAGAAAGGAAACATACTACTCTTGAATAAAAATAATGTATGAGGCCCACTGGGCTTTCTGCTGTTGTGTGGATGAAGAGCTCCATTCAAGGACAATTTGTCACCTGCCTGTCCCACCTCAAACCTTTACTTGGATTTGTTATCTGTTTCAATCTCTCACTGAAGAATCCTCCCACCATCTGGATTCTGCTGTTTAATGATGATGCAGAATTTAGCTCCCAGCTATCTGAGCCTGAAAGAAACAACCCAGAAGCCATTAATGGCTGGTGAGATCCTACAGACTTATCTGGTACCAAGTAGTTTTAAGAATTAGTTCTGCCCCATGATGACTCTACCTGTCTAAGATGCTCCAGACACACTGAACTTGTCTGGGGAGCTTGCAAGAGCCAAGACTACAAAACCTGTCTCTGGAATACGCTGACGTTCTTTTGAAGACCATGCTAACAGTTCCAGGAGATGTTGGATGGACTGGAGCTGACAGGTGTTCCTCCTTCCCTTTCCCCGACTCTGGAAAAGCACTTTCTCAGTGAGTCTCCCTTTCAGCAGGTATTGAATAAACTAGGAAACCTCACTATGCCTCAGGGCTTTCTAGCATGATTGCATCCTGTTTCTGCAAGCCCTCTGATCGCCTGGATGATGCTTGCTCCAGAAGCAGGACTGGAATATCCCTCCTCTTGTGTGAAGAAAGGGTTGTGCTACATGAAAAGCGAGGGGAGCCTGGAAAATCACACGCAGGGAAAATGATGAAAGAGGAAATGTTGTCCCCATACCTCCAGCTGCTTCCCCAACAGCAGCCAGCTTGTCTCACCCAGACTGTGACTTGGTGAAGGAAGACCACAGTCATTTGACTACTTCAACAGTGGCCTGTTGCTGGTAAGAACACAACTTACTACAGCTGGCAAGAAGAAATCAGCTTTCTCTCAAAGCCAGCCCGGGAAGCAGGGCAAAAAGCTCCTTAGGTCCTGAGGAAGGTCATGTGAACCGGGAGAAGTGCATAAATTTGCTCCCTCTTTCCCCACCCCCCCACAGTTTTAGCCATCAGCAATAGGGTCCATGGGTAATATGCTGGCAAGAGTAGGCCACGGCTACACAAGGACAACAATAAAAACATACCCCAAACTTTCTCACCCTGCCTTACAACTGAACTTTTATGTGGTCTCATATCAACCCTCCTTCTTCAAGTGTGTGGTGTAACTAATTCTCACTGACTGCCCTAGATCCAAGGCAGATGAAATTGAAAGCCATGTCAAACAGGATGCGTAAGTCCACGATGAGGCCAGCCCAAAATCAGAAGGTGATTTAGCTCTAAGAAGCAGCATTTCAGAGGAGGAGTTTTGCTGTGATGACTTTCAACAATAACGAATGATGCACCTGTTTGCTGAGCCATGGAAACATCGGGCTGCATTCCCAAGTAGGTGCAGCTCCTCTGGTCTCATTAAGTCCTAGTGACTTAGCTGACCGTTCAAGGCTCAGATAATGGAAGTCCAGTGTGGGAGACATTGTATGGTTAATACCTTATTTTGAACAGTAACAGCAGTTCTCTGGCTGCAGCAAAAAGGGAACAGACTTTTAAATCCTGTTTGGAGACCTTCATAGTCCTTCAATTAGTTTGACATAAAGAAAAGAACTAGCAACTGTATAAGTCTTTCCCCTCCCATTCGACTTGTAAGCTAGGAGTAAAAATGAAGTTACATGAAAAACGATGATGTAGTTGTACTTATTACAGGCAATGGTACTGATTAAATTACTTGCATTATTATTATCTGCACTTTAAGACTGACACAAGCAGCATGACGCAGGACAGAATTGTCTATTTTTAAAGATCAGACGAATGGAAAGACTGGTGAGGATGTATTGGAGGGAAGCCAGAGCTCCTCCTTCCAAATATATAGATTTCATACCATTCTGACTAGGAGCTTTACACCAAGGAAAGAAGTGTTGTTATTATTATTACTAATTACTATATTGTTATTATTATTATTATTACTATATAATATTATAGTAATTACTATTATTTACACTGAGGAAAGAATGTTTTCTTCTCTAAAGGAGAAAATCAGTGAATGAGCTCTCTTGACACTGGGAGAAGAGATACTGATTTATGTCCTGGCTGGGATGTAGCCAAGTGCTGACTTGACGTGGTGCCAGCGCTGCAGGTAGGGAAGATAAAAAAGGCCAGATGTGAGCATGGCAGCCACTAACAGAGGCCAGGAGTAATGGAAGACCCTGTACCGTACCAGGTACGGGACGGTCTTTGCTCCTTCCAAGTTCTAAACTGCTGTGAAGAAATGCCCCCCGCCCTGCCCTGGCTTTTTTTTTGGAAGAAGGAGAAACCTCATTTATACAGATTAATACTGCTTCCTACACAGGCAGGCTTGAAGCTAGCTTTTCATTACCTTTCATCGGGTGGATTTGGCCCATCAGCAACAGGATGACTATGAATGTTACCACCACAATGAGCAACATCAAACGCCTCATCACACAAGTTTTCACTCCTAGCACCTGAACAAGGATATGTCCTCACGTGAAAGTCTCAGATTGGACTAGACACGGCCAGGACTGAAAGTGGGATGAAGAAAGACTCTGTGCATGCTGCAAAAGTTCCCTTTGCCTTCATCTTCCTCCGTTTGCACATGCCAAAAAGATCCTTTTCTGCTTAAAGTGAACATATCCAATCTTAAATGTGCACATGCAGAAACTCTGGGTAATACACAGTGCTTGTATATAGTGTTTCTGTCCAGCAACAGTGGTCTGTAAAGATAGAATTGCACTACAAAGGTCACACATTCTTGCTCTGAAGAGTTGTCATCTTTTCTCTTTTACTGACTCTAAGGAAAAAAAAAGAAAAAAAAAAGAAGGGAAAAGAAGAAGAAGAAGAAAAAAGAGAAAGCAGCTCAGACAGGGGAAAAACGGTTACAGAAAGGAAGGCTATACTGTGTGGTCAGACAATAAACTGCATTCAATTACTGCTTCATCCAGTCTTCTTTATATTGTATCTTGGATTAAGAGCTTCTGGACTAAGGGAGGGATGTATTGAAGAGCAGAGGAGGAGACTGTCAATGAAAATATTGGATATTGTTTTCTAAATAGGTCTCCTGATAACGGGTCATCCTGGGCCACTGCTGTAGAGTGGGCTGGGATATGACAGAAAGGCATCAGTGTCTGCCTGAGCATCATGACGGTGCTCAGCTGTAATGGTGCTGGACAAGAACTTGCAAAAAGCCTTTCCAAGCAGCTGAGATGAATGTCTGGCAATGATATTTCAAGAGGCTGTGGCCAGGAAGCCTTGTGACACTGTTTAGATGTCCTGCCCTGTTAAACTCCAGCAACAATCACTGTATCTCACCTGCTTTTGACTCAGACAATGTTTATTTTGCAGCCAGCCCTGAGCAGATGAACCCATCCAGTCCTGTGCCAGCAATGTGTGTGGGTTTTGCTGGCCAGCGCAGGGAGTCGAAGTCAATGAAGCAGTGAGCTCAGGTGAAGGACCCTGCAGGACCTCTTAGTCAGTACATAACAGTAAAAAAAGGCTGCAATTTAAGAAAGATTTCCCTAGCTCCGGAAGCATCACCCAGTGGGACATAGTTAGGAAGTATCCAAAGTGACATCTACTGGTGTAGATTTGGATTACCATAGAACATATAGTTAGAGCAGGGCAGAGAGGCACAATGAAGTTGAGTAATGAGCCCCAAAAGGTATCTGTGGGGAAATCAGCAGCATAAACTGTACCAGCTGAGCTCTAAATAATTGAACCTCTAACTATTTTGGAAGCAGGACAAAATAAATCAGTTTGTTTATTAGTTCTAAAGGATTGCTTAATGGTGCCCCTCATTCCCGAGTTTTAAAAATGGCTTGAAACTGCAAGGCACAGAGGATTCAGTGCAGGTCTTTCACGCTAAGAAGTTCTGTTGGTTTGTGCTAGGAGATGATACGTGGAACTCACATTTCAATTCAGCTCACCTAGGGAATTCCATACCTTGTAGGTGGTAGATTCAAGAAGACGAAGTCATATTGCATTCCTGGAGCTTCTAAGGGAATATAAAAATTAATCTAGAGGGGTTAGCTCAGAAGAAATTCCATAGTACCAGTTCCAGGACTACAACGCTTAGGACAGACTCTGGAGCTCTTTGGGAGTGACACAGATTCCTGTTCTTTGCTGAAGTGCACTTCTTGAAGACAATATTATTTCAAGAGAAGCTTCGGTGGAGACTGCTGATCTTAGGCATAGATGACTATGCAACTAACAGGGACACAAGTTCTGGCAGGAGCAATCCCTAGCACAGTTTGCATCACTTTACCTCCCAGATACCTCTGAACACCCGTTTGAAAATGACTTGCAGGCTTACGTCAGCGTTCACTCCATCCGCACAAGCCTTTTCCTTCATTCTGCTTGGCCTTCATCCAGCGCCCACTGGCCTGTGTAACCAATGCTTCCAGTGTGTCCAGAACACTAAATGCCTTAGGTCATTGCCCTTGCTGCCTACACCCGGGACAATCTGTGATTTAAATTGCTGCTAAGGGTGCAATTTTTCTCAATCCTCGTCATTACTGGTTCTCTGCCTGTTCACATCCAGCCCAGAATCCACTTCTCAGCATGCAGAACATAATCCTTGTCCTGCAAAGCACCATGCCATGACCATCACAAGCAGACTCTAGCCACAGAGTCTGTGGCCCGTCTCTAGACACTATTTTACCAACATCACAGAAAGCAAGTGCACTGAGCTAAATTAAACACGGATTTTTCTCTCTCTCTTTTTTATTTCCTTCAGGGAAATGTTTTGTTTGATTGATTTTTTTTTAATATCCAGAACTAACGAGTCAATTTAATGACTCATCTGCATTTGCGCAAAACACAGACCTCTCTAAAAATCAGCTTATGTTATACACATGGAACAACTATAGCCATAGCTTCATTAGATCACAAGTGCTGGATAAAAATTCAAACCACAGGTAACGTATCAGTGATTTAAATGGGAAAAGGTCAGACAGGACATTTCTATTCATTGAGACATGAATTTCATCACTTGAATTACAGAACATGATTGACTGCCCACAAAAGCTGTATCTTCAAATGAGATCCTTCAACTCTTGACATGCAGAGACTATGACTTACACATCTTTTTAGCTGTCAAGAATCTCTGATGAAAAATGTACTGTATATTTGCTCCACAAGGAAGATTCCATCTTCAGAAGTGGCTTTTCAGGCAGTCAAATTTCAATCTTTTAAGTAGGAATTTTTAAAGCCCTATCTGCACATTTTCTGAGCCATATCTGCACCTGAAGTTAGCCAAGAATAAAACATTCCATGGGTTTACTAATGCTGGAGTCAAATTCGGGTATTCCTCTGCTTTCAAGACAGGATTTTCACATCCAGGCACCTGTCCTGTATACAAAGACGCAAATGAAATATTCAAAGGAAATTAATTTTGTGATGTTGCAGGTTGATTATCTCATATAAGAATCTAGGGATACAGCTATAAATCCTGATTGCCTTTTTGTCTGAGTGCTTCAGACCCAAAAGAGAGTTCAGCAATCAGATTAAGAAAACTGATAAACATGTGCTATGGAAACACTTTACAACTAGGGAGAACAAAGGCCCTAAATTAGGACTTTTTCGATTGTGAGCAATGCAAATGTTCTCATTTTTCTAGATGTAAATTCCAATATGACCAGTCTTAAACCATGGAAGACCTGGAAATTACACAAGTCTAAAGCATCTACAAAGAATTGGAAAGTCTTTGTGCTTTTCCAGGGTCATAGACATTTTCTATAAAATTGCAATTTCTAATACTATAGAGAATTTTATTGCTGAAGACTGGTATTTTCAAAACCAGTTTGGAAATTTAGTAGTCCATTAAGAAGAAGAGGAAACAAACATTAATGGCACACATCCAGAGACAGAAGGATTTGAAACAAAAAAGGACAATTTCTTGCTGACCCATCGAAGCTCATTGCAAGAAGATCTCAACACACTTCTGCTAGCTAGGCTTTAGCCACACAACACTCACTCACTATGAGGCTTTGCACACAGAAAACAACAATAGCCACCTTTGTCCCACACCCAGACAAGACCTTAAGAGAAAATGGAAGATACCTTCACCTTTGTGTGGGGTGCCCTCATCAACTATGGTAAGGAAAACATAACAAAAACAGTCGAACAAACAAGAACAAGCGCAAACAAGGAAATTATGTTGTTGTCTGAATTACTACACAGTAAATGAGGCTTGGGACCTCATACTGTAGGGAATGGTAGAGACAAAATGTTGAACATCTACTAATCAACTGCATGGTCAGCCTCATCCTGTGGAATAGAAGAACTGAGGTCCCTAAATGAATAACTGGTATGTAATCCTGCAGTTAAGGATTGTGCTACTGTCTTTACATAGCATCCAATGGGTCCATTATATTTATGGATGCAATCTTAATGTTTCTAGCTCTTGAACTTTCCATTTGCAACCTCCCATACTCCTCATACTTCCTGCTCAGCTGGGATAACAGGAACCTTTGTTATCATAAATAAACCTCGGTCTTTTTCCTCACAGCACACAGGTATGTCTGGTCAAAGAAAAGCAAGACTGGAGGCTCCTTTCACTCTGGGAATACACTATTTTTTTCAGAGTCTCTAGTAATGCAATAAGCTGGAGATAAGCAATAGCTACTGAAGTAGTGCACCTTTCCTTTTTCAGGGCTGGTCTAAACTCTATGCTCTGTCTTGAGGCCAAGGCATTTGAACAGAGGATCACGCTCAGGTCTTTTCTGGCTGAAACCCACCACTTTGAGGATAGTTTTGAGCTCTTGCTGCTTTTCAGTAGCCAAAATACAGTCAGTCCTGCTTTAGCAAGGCAAGAGACAACTGAATGACTAATGGACATAAGGAGGATGTTGTACCATGACAAGCTGGTAGAGGGAGAAATGTTGTCCTTAAGACCCAAACTAACTGGATTAGCTCATAAATTCATTACTGTGAGGCTTGTCCCAGGCACCTGCAGCTTTGCTAGGGCATAAAGTTTTGCTTCATTTCATATATTTCTCACTCCTTCATCTGAGAAATGCATGGAGATTATCAGGAAGATCACTGAGTATTCAGACTTCTTGAGCTGAACACATAACTGCTAATAATAACATATATATGTATATATGAAAGATGGAAGCCATGTTCCAGTTTTCCTCGTTATGATTATTTCCAGTTTCATAGGAATTGTTAAAGAGATCAAGGTCATTTCTAAATGAGCAAATTAACCTTTTACTTTAGTCTTTCTCCATTCATTGTAGACTTTCAATCACCAGCTCACAACAGTGAGAGACTGTTCCTTCCATTTCTCGAGAGAAACAAACCATGAAGAACTGACCTCCAGTGTTTTCACTCTCCAAGGCAGGACGTCCTGCTGCTGACCTAAAAGCAAGCTTGCCACACTTCCTCAAGTGTCCCTGCTCACCATCTCTGCAGAGGCAGACCTCTGCCATTCAGAACAGCATCCCTACAGGTCCATCAAGAAAAGCACAACCCGTCCATTTCTGGGAACACTTCACTGGCATGGCAGAAGAGATAGCGACCACTGAAAACATGGCACGATCCCAGATACTTGCAACTTGTAAGTTCATCACTTTTTTTTTTTCTTTCCTACTTGTCAAACCTAGACTGGTATCATTGCTCAAATAGAGTTTCACTAAGCTCATTAAATGTATGTGCTGCAGATATTAATAAATGCAGTCAGGTAATTCTTATACTACATACATATGTTCCTTAAATATATCATAAAAAACACCCATTTTGACTGTGGCCAAGTCCTGAAAATCTGCCTTGCATTCAATACCATCTCTGTAGAAATCCTAGGAGTATTTTTTTTGGCAATATCCCAAGCAGATAACTTCCTTTAAGCACTCTTTTCTTAGAAGCATAACCTCTAGTTTCCTTGTTTGTAGAAACACTTCTTGACAACTCTTTTTAAGATACCCTGTGTCATCACCATAACCCATTCTTCCATCCTGAATTGTTAGGATTGGCTCATAAGTTTGACACTGTACTGACACAATTTTGTTCATACACAGTCTATACCACAGCATGCATACTCAATCTTATCTCTAGCTGGGGGATTTTTTCTGTCCTTTGGCATGTCAAATAAGTCACCAGACCGGACAGCCAGGAACTCCTCCACTGACACACAATCACATTTCTCTCCAGGACATCTGAGCTCTAAAGCCTTTTTCTACAAATCTGTTTTGCTCTGAAGAGGCGACCTTGACCTGATCTTGAGGGTGAGGCGACAGAACTGCCTTTTTTCTCCACACATCAATGCCTAAGGCCTAATGCGCTATAACCAAGTATTCAATTAGATTAAATAAAGCTCATTTTTTTCCCAGAAATGTTTGTTTCATACATTATTTTTCAATCTCATTCTGGAACCCTGCAATTATTTATCAACTTCCTTTTCAGGCCAGACTCTGACATTATAAGAGTCAGCCATTAACTGCAACAGAAGAGTCTGCTTGCCAGTGTTTAAGTCCTACAAATAAACAAACTTTTCCTGTTTCAAGTGGTTCCTCACTGAGCAGTGGAATGAGAAATAAGAGAAGTTAAGTAGATATGTCCCATTTCACCCATAACCACAAAGAAAGCCTTGGAAGCAATACACTTAAAAGAAGAAAGTATTTCCACTCTGTCTCCCAGAAACACTCTGAGTGATAGCATTTCTCATAAACCAATATTGCAAGCTTGGAGAGCACCAACATAGGGACAAAAAAGTTTGTAAGGTCTAAATAATGTGATCATTTAACAGATGGTGGGGAAAAAATGCACAATTTTCTTCCTTTATCTTCACTCTCTATTTCAATACGGCTGTTCCTTTCAGTGTGGGAGGTCTGTTTAATCAGGGATGGAGCTCCAGGGACAGCGCACAGGATTAGAAAGTTCAGTGCAGCAAAGCAATTACCCAGCTTTACCCAGATAGTCAGGGAACTGCTCCCAGATCAGCTGAAAATAACATTTTCCACTGAGCATTAGCAGTCGTCCAGTGGGTACAGAAAGCCTACCTTGTCTCGAATTCCTTGTCTCATAACTTCTCTTTCAGCTTCCATTTTGGCATATTTGGCTTTTCTTTCCTCTTCTTCTTGCCTGAGGGCTTCTTGCCTTTCCTCTTCTTTCTTGGCAGCATCTGGATCTTTCTCCTCATCCCCACCTAGCATTTTTCCCATGTCTTTGGTAGCCCCTGGAGAAAGCACATGAGAAAGTCAGCCCCAAAGATATGGAAAGCTAGGAAAACTATGGTTATGCCAGCTGATGCTTATGCTCACTTGATTTTAGAGAGTTCTTAACACAACATGCTGGCAATAGATCCAGAACAGAAAAGTGACACCAGGGCCGGGAAAGGAATCTGAAATCCTGATTATGGCAATGAGTAACCACAGTCTTAATTGTTGCTAGAAATTGCATTTACCTTGACAGGTAGGAGCACACAGGACAGCAAACATTTGGAGTAGCTAATGGCTTTGAAGCTGCTGCCATGGGTCAGAAGCTTTACAGAACCAAAGCAGTAATGTCTCTTCAAGTCCCTCTTTGAACTTCAACAACCAATGCTTCCAAATGCTTGCTATGCAGGTGGGATCCCTGGTTCCTTTTCCACCCCGGCATGCACACTGCTCCCAGCTTCCCAGCTCCCTCATACTCCAAAGCCAGGGTTCTATTATCCTGCCCAGCCCTAGCACAGCCATGCAGACATTTCTTGCATGTTGCCTGCCAGGCTGAACACAGGCTAACAGCTCCAGACTGCTTCTTTGCTGACTGAGACTTAGCTGAGTTAATCCTCAATGCAACACAAACACACAGGCATCATTTGTCTTGCCATTGCAAAGGAGTCTGGCCCTCCTGAAGGTTAAATCTGGAAGAGACCCACTGAGAAAACCTTTTCAAATAATTGCTTGTTGACATTATTAGAGGATAAGTGAGAGAATGAGGTATCCACAAATCTTTTCCCCTCTCTTACAGTTTACATATTTAATATGTCAACAGCACTCATTGCAGTGAAGACTCATCACAGAGATAACCACTGCTTAGAGTAAATGGAACCTAGAGGAACCTTCCTTGTGCTTCTTGTGCTTTCCATGTGAGTCCTTGGGAAGGAAATGATAGAAACTTGGCCATTACAGGGAGAAAAATCTGCAGATTTTTCTGCAGATTTTTTCTGATTTTTTTCTGCAGAACTGCTCTGCAGATTTTGCAGAGTGGTTCATCCTGAGCTGTCACAGCAATGGCAGTTACTTAACCTCTATCTACCACTGAGCAATGTGGTGGTACCAAGAAGATCATTTGGCTTTTCCCTTCCACATTTCTTTTCTAGGCTCTATATCTTTTTCCTGAGTCCTATCCAAAAGCAGTCCCAAACCAAAAGCAACCCTTCCATCCTCCAAAACCTGAGAAAAGCCCCTGCTACATTTCCCATAGCCAAACATACGGAAAATGACAAGACCTAGCAATTATAGTGGTTCTTGCCAGGTAGGAAACGATGTAGTAAACATGTCTTTTCCATTCATCTGGCTAACCACAGGTGGAGAAAAGTAGGAAGACAGCCCTGGTTCCAGAGGTCCTTACAGAAGCTGATAGAAAATGAAAGAGAAAAGCAATCTGCATCACTCATACCCATCACAGGCACCTCCGTAGTCAGCTCTGAATGAGACACTGGTGACCTATGCCAGTAAAACCCTCAGTGTGTGGATTCCCCTCAACAAGCATTTCCACTGATAATCAGGTTGCTTTGGATTCAGTAATCTTATCAGGTTAATCGTTGTTTAGCATCTGTCCACTTAGAGTTGGTCAGTGTAATATACTAGTTACTTAAGGAGTAAAATTCAGTAGTAGAAAAGAGCTTTCTTTCCCCCTTGCAAGATGTGCTTCTACTCTCTCATTAAGTTATAATGTCAGCTCAGGCCATCATACAAGGAAAAAAATGAGTAGACTTCTATCTGTTCTTTTCTGTTCTTTCAGATAGACAAGACTAAGATTTTGAACAGCTTAGGTATTTAATTTTACAGCTATTCAGCACCCAGGACAGTACAAGAAAAAGAATGTAGTTCCAGGATCCTCACAGATTCTCTTAATTCACTCCAGATTTCAAAGTCACATTCTTGCTGGGCTGAATACTGCATTGTGATGCTATTGTTAATTGATTGGAATGAAATGTACTATAAGGAGCAAAATTTTTATGCTATATTTTAGCTCCTGTCTCTTGGGTTACTTTTGGTGCAGAAAAGCTTTCTTTCCCCTCTCTCTCTTTTCTCCCTACTCCTAATTTTTGGGGTTTGCTATTAACAGGCTCTGAATAACAGAAAAGCTTTCTTTCCCCTCTCTCTATTTTCTCCCTACTCCTAATTTTTGGGGTTTGCTATTAACAGGCTCTGAATAACAGCTTTTAGCTCTTTTTCATAGAATCATAGAATCATAGAATGCTGAAGGTTGGAAGGGACCTCTAGACGTCATCTAGTCCAACCCCCCTGCACACACAGGGTCACCTAGAGCACGTGGCACAGGACTGCGTCCAAGCGTGTTTTGAAGATCTCCAGAGAAGGAGACTCCACAACCTCTCTGGGCAGCTTGTTCCAGTGCTCTGGCACCCTCACTGTTAAAATTTTTTCCTTAAGTTTCTGTGGAACTTTTGGTGCTTCAGTTTGTGGCCATTACCTCTAGTTCTGTTGGTGGCCACCAGTGAAAAGAGGCCAGCACCATCCTCCTCACTGCCTCCCTTGAGGTACTTATAGACACTGATTAGATCCCCCTCTCAGCCTTCTCTTCTCCAGGCTAAATCCTTTTTAGGATGTGAACAGTTGAGGCTCCAGAGAATTCACCTGCAGGCAACTGGGAGGCTACAATTACCAATGCAAGCAGGAGGAATGAGCAGAAAACTTTTCTGAAGCTTCCAAGGAGACTTCCAAGGGGAGGAACACATTTGTTGAATCTCTCCACTTGATAAGGCTGGATGCGTTCTTTTACATCCCATCTATAACATTTTCTTTAATGTTAAATCATTAATGAGTGAAGAGTTTGAAGACCACAGTAAGAAATGGCTAAAGCTACAGAAGAACTTTACCATCACCTCTGACTTCTTACAGGAGGTAAGACGCACATAGACAACTGTGATGAAAAGCACTGCTCGCTTCCACCACAAAAAATCTCTAAAAAAGCCTCCATGAAGGTAGACATGTCCTATATGGCATGTTCAAGGACAGAAGTGACCTGAAAGGGATCTCAGGCCACTCCAAAATTAAGAGTTATTCTCATGACTCTTAGATGGGCTAAACAACTAGGCAATCAGGAGTTAAACCATATGTGTGTAACTGCACTCAGACACAGCTTCAGGTGAGGTTGGCTTCTTACAAGATTGTCGTCAGTCAGTTAAAAAACAGTAATTCAGATCTTGGTGATTTGTTGCACAGCAAGTTGATCACCAGCCAGCAATTTGCCCTTGTGGCCATAAAGCACTCGACTCCCCAGAATGACAGATATGGAGCTCTAGCTTGAGTCTGCAGAAGGGTTACTAGGATGATGAAAGCCATGGAGCATCCATCATCTGTGTGAAGACTCAGAGAGCTGGAACAGTTTGGTCTGAAGAAGAGAATGTTCAATAAAGAAATACCTGGCAGGGGCATTAAATAAGATATAATACAGTGCACAGTGACAGGACAAAATACTTTTGCCAAAACCTAGGAAATGTATGAAACATCATTTAAATATAAGAAAACACTTTTTACTTTTAGAATCACATGATTGAACATTGGAACAGGGTAACAGAGAGGTCGTGGAGTCTCCATCGTTGGAGATATCCAGATATCAACTGCACACAGTCCTGGGTGGGTGTCTTTGAACTCCCGGCATTCTCTGCTTTTTGTGACACTTCACAAGTTAAGTGGTTTAAATGGCCACTGAAGGTAATGAAGTCAGTTCAACAGAGAAAAAGGCGAGGAGCACATATCCGAACATATCCTGTACAAACATTCCTGAATTGAGGAGGAAAAAAAATGTTAAATGTCCCTAGTCAAAAGAGTATTGTTTTCTATACCCTGACCTTAAGCATGTGAATAGCTCATAGAAGTCAATCCATCTCTTATGTGGAAAACTTAAAATTGCTAAATCAACTTGCTAACATGATGCCAAATTTCTCATTTGTTCAAAAAAATATAAAGTAAAATAGCATTTTTTTAAGGATGAACTATAGAAAAAGAGATAATAGGAGCTTCTTGAGCATTGTTGAGTAAGTAAAGGGTAATGGAAACTTCCACATGCCATCACTTCAGGTCAGGTAAAATCAAGAGAATTTCCATACACACAAAAAGATTTTCTTAGTATGGATAAACAGCACACTATACCTGTCTTTCAAGTTGGTTTCATATGTTTGTGTGCTAAGATGTCAGAGGAATCGTGGAAGTTCCCCTTCTAGAGGTAACAGAGAGAGCAGTGAGGGAGGGACATGGAACAGGCATTGCCTTAGGAAAGTGTGCATGGAAAAGCTTCTGTGCATAGACCAGAAAAGGAGTCTTAAAAAAAAAAAAAAAAAAGAAGAAGTATTTCATATGCATTCTGGAGAGGTTCTCAAAAATAGCCTCCGAGTTAGAGCTGCACACTTTGAAAGCATTAAGAGATGGCAACTCATTTTGCTATGCTTTACAAGAGAGGAAGCCCAGGAGCTGGGTTTTGATAGCGTTATTTGTGTCTGAGGCATATTTAGATCTAACAGAAGGGACAACTGATGTCACAGAGTTTCTAAATCACAGTATGATTTTTAATCACACTATCCAAACACCTAATCACAGAGCACCGAGCTGGAGAAGGAGTTGGTCGTTCCTTTCTGCAGAATCCCCTCAAAACTATGCACCACTATCAACCAGTGGTGACACTGGAGATAGCCCTTCTTCAGTAAGGTCGTAGTGCAAAGAAAGCTTTTGCACACTGCACAAGGAGTCCTTTTCCTATTTTGTTTACTGTTAAAGACTGAAAAAAAAAAGAATCTGCTATTAAAACAAACAAACTTGTAGCAAACATTATGGGATGCTTCCTTGTCCCAGAAGCCAAGATTCTTTCCTCAATAACTAATTTGTCAGGAAAGGTTAGGGTAGTATTTATTTGAAAACTTCAGTCTTCAAATCAGAGGAATTTTCCAGGCTTTTTTTTTTTTTTCCCCCAGCATGAAACGTACCCAGAAGAATCAGATATGATTCTTGT